CAACTCTATTCCTATAGCAAAAGCGATAAAAATGCTCTGCAGAAATATTAAATTTTTGAACCGTTAAAGGGGTGTTTGTAATTAACATTTTAAATAATATGTATAAAGCAAAATAATTTAATGCGACGCAAAAAGGGTTAAGATTGTCACTTAAAAATCAGGGCAAAAGCGAAATCATGTCGTTCAGTGAATAAATAATTTATGTGATGTAATTGTGTTCTTATATTGCATTCAAATATAAAGAGAAAACTTTAAACTTGACATGAAAGACTTCTTTAATCAATTTATCATTTAAATGTTGCAAATAAATACACATAAGTATTGCCTTTGCAATAACTTGCAAAGAAAAATTATTTTATGTTTTTATTTATATGTATAATAACATAATTCCTCTATGCATATACTGTAATGTACTGTTTATTTGTATAAGAGTAATATTAATCAACTTTAAAAGAAGACCTACATTGACTTTACAATCAAAAATAATATGTTTATTTTTTAAACATGTTGGCTTTATTCGCCTTATTTATAGTTTTTTACACATATTATGTTTCATATAATTTATGTTCTAACTAGACTTTAATATTAAAAGTATAGTCAGGAAATATAAGAAAAGTCACATATTTAAATATAAATACATTTGTGTCTTTCTTCATTTTGTATTGCGTCTTTATATGAGACTGCATCATTAAAGATGTATTTAATAGAAGCCGTTTTCGTTAGTTTTATTAATGTAACAACTTTATTTACTTTTATTCAACGGAACTCGTCCCTCTAACTCCTTTTACCTAATTCAAAATTTATTATAACATCATAAAACTTTTATCAAAATCAACGTAAAGTTGTCATAACTTTTTGATTAAATGAAATTAATCATTCTCGATGATAAAACGTCTTTCCTATCAAATTAAATTTTAATGTATATAGTGTATTAATGTTTGTAACATAATTCAATTTGGTTAATCATTTTTGATGACTTCAATCCTTTATTATTTTATAAATCTGTATACAAATTGTACTGTAATAGTTATAAATTATTATATGAAACATATGTTTATAAAACGATAAACAACGAGATTGAAGCCAACATGTTAAAAAAATAAACATGTAGGTCTTCTTTTGAAGTTGATTAAAATTAATCTCATACAACTAAAATATACAGTATATTTATAAAGGAATTTCGGGTTATAATATTTACAAATAAAAGCATAAAATATTTTTTATTTAAAAAGAAATGCAAAGGCAATACGTTTCCTGGAGTCATCTGAGTTTATAAACGTAAATTTCAAACATTTTATTCTTGGCGTTCTTCAACTCGTTTTTATGCTTGTTAGTCCAATAATTATAAGTTTGTTTCTTTAAGCTTCGCAGCTCAAATTTCTCAAATGTAAAGTGCCGTAATGGAAGCGGTTTTCTGACTTAGATACCTATTTAACTTTTACCTAACCTTGATTAAATCCAAGGATCATATGTTAAACGACAATTATTATGAAAATGTTCTTGTACGCTGTATTGAAATGAAAAAATATATATTTAATCATAGAATAGCTTTTCAATAAAAGTGTGTTACATAAATATACTCTTTTTTAGTTCTAATTTTAGGTCCCTAAATTATTGTTTGTTGCCATGACGTTTTTTGCTAACTGCGTATATATTCAGTTTGCAACAAATGTCATGAGTCATGACCCAACAAACGGTTGTTGAAGAACGACTCAAATGTAATAAAAAGATACACTTTAAGTTGCAAGAATGGTAAATAATATTATGTTATATATTTTAATATATCGTTGACTTTCGATGGCGATAGCGAGTCAAGTGACTTGGAGTAAAAAACATTTTAACAACTTTTCAATACGAAGAAATTATTTCAATATAACGTACTTTAAACATATCATATAGCTATTGATTTTAATGTTATTATCTTCATAAATTTTACACAGTAAACACTAAACAGTACTTGAAAATACAACCAATATTTTTTTTATGTTATGCAATATTATAAAACTAATATATTATTTATTTCGAGAATTCTATCCTTTACTTTATTATACCTCGATTAAAAAACAATAAGAACTATACTGAACAAATACAAATGTTGAGTTGGAAATAGGTATAAAAATAAATAAAATTATCAAGGGTCAAGCGGGAAACGAATGGTATATTAGCCTTAACCGTTTTTTAGGGTTCTGTACGTCAGCCCGCAGTAACGGAACCCTTTTTTATTTCAATGCTTAAGTCTATTTTATATACAAGACAGCTTTGAGTTATTTAGATATAATGTTGTAATATTCCAATTTTCTTACCATTATTTTACAACGAGAAAAGAGAGATGGTTTTACCGTATCGCGTTTCTGATTTATATTCTTTTTATCTTCATCTACCTGGCAATTTACCCAGCTTATGCCAGGGTCTGCCTTACATGTTGTGAATAGTTTTCGCTAATTGTTTTTACGACCGGCCGCCTGCCTGACATCAACCCTCTTTGGGAATGCATTAATCAGTGATGTTTAAATATTCTTAGAAAGTACATATGACTTCGAAAAATCACATTGGTACTTGCCAGGGCCAGGATCGAACCCGCGCCTTCGTGCATGAGAGGCCGGACTTTTAACTACTAAGCCACCACTGACTTCTATATATAGTCACATATATAGCCTTTTTATATTATGACAATATTACATATGAAGCTGAATTGGAAACCAAGGTTTACTTCCCCAGCAAGAGATTAAATAACGCCCGTTCGATAAAATTATTCTTAAAATTTATTACTGCACGGTAAATAAATAGTAAATTTCCTATAATAAAATTATAAACTGTGCTGACACACAAATTTAAATTTTGTGTCGGAAAACTATTTTCATCATAAATCTATTTACGTCACGGTTAGTTAACAAACTCAAAATAAGTTTGGAAACGCAAAATGGAAATTATTCTATTATGTAACAAACACATACAGAATTTGTCATATTTGTATTTGTATGTGTATTCTATTATGCAGAAACACATGCACAATTTGTCTACTTTTATATAAAATGTAGCTCTCTAGAAGTTTTTCTTTCTTTAAAATTCTAAAAATATGCCGTGTTTGGAAATTTTGCTCACTTTGAAGTTTTATTCTTTAGAAATTCACCTGGCGATGGAATAATACAAAACTTGATACCTACACACGTTCCTGAGAAAGGGGAACTATAAAGTTCTAAAAAGACTTTTCTCAAGTATTGTACTATGAAAAGCGAATAATTAATATTAATAATTATTGAAAATATTTATGTAATCACTCCATACAACCTAAACCCATTCGATTTATTTCATATCTTATAAAAATAACGTAACTTTATAAAAGTTTTTATAATGCAATTAAATTATTTTTGTCTTACAAAAACTTCCACCTATGTATAAAACATTTGTTTAATATATACATACTTGTTATGGTTTAAGATATTTTTATGACAAATTATTTATAGCCGAAAATTTAACTTACGCAATGTATCGAGTAACATAATTAACACCACGTTTGAAATTAATTTATCAATGGCTGAGCGTATGTCGATTTAATATTCTACATACATATATCATTTTATCGTTAATATACATATCTCTTATTTTGTATGAAAAGTTAACATAAAATCTTTAGCGTTTTTTTAATTTAATCTATCCTTCAAACGTTAAGAACAAAAGTGTTAAACTTCATCGTAATTTTTTTTTAATTCAATAAGTCAATATAAATTTATAGATTTTTGTGTTACCACTGATAATTAAAAGATGTCCTTTTAGTATGACAAACATACATTCATAGTTAAATTATTTTCTGGAATCTTAATTTCGCTCTCATAAAGCCCATTCATACAATATAATTTCATTCAGTCGGACGAAGTATTTTATTGATATGTAAATTAAAGATATTTTAGTATTAAAATACCTTTTGAAATACTAATTTCTTTACAACAATGCTCGCATTCTTACCTCACAAGATATAACGTTTATTTATGCCACTTTTAATATAAAAGAAACAAAGTGGAACTTCTTTTTTGCCAAGTCTCTGAAACGTTTTATCCCAGACTTGTTGAAAAAAAACTAGGATCCTCGACTACCCATTCCAAGTAACGTTCATACTTTGAAATAATGTTATTACTTATTATTTTTTGTATTACAACATTTGATATACTTTTCATAATTAATAACACAAAGAGTCTTAATTTCAACATTATTTATATACATAGGTATTAAGGAATAAACATATAAAGTAATAGTTGAATAGTTTAAACATTGTATTTATTTTACGAAATAAGCTTTAAGTAATAAATTCTCAGAGTTAAAATTGAGTGAAATAACGGTTTTATTAATATAAAGGCGTGGGTAGACCGCCCTCGCCTCCGAGATCCGGGAAATAATATTGCAGAACACGGTCATGGTCAGTTATCGAGTATTTGCACGTTTAAAAACTTATGAATATAACATAAATACAAGCTTTGACAGGGACAAAGTAATGGCCACATTTGTTGCTTGGTTCTAGGAAGTACTGAAAATATTTGTATACATTTTAATAGATCATATCAGTCTATACAGATTGTAATGTTTTATTTCTTTCGAAATAATATGTACGTATTCTGTAAAATAATCTTTGATGATATACAAAATTATTTCAATTCATAATTCTAAATACTCTCAACGGTTATTAAAATATTGAATGCGAAATGTATAAAGTGAGTTGTAGACTGGGACGCGCGTTATGAATTTTGAATAACATTAGTTTACTAGCGACTGTTGGCTCAGTGCTTTAACTATATTCTGTAAAGTATAATAAATAATACAATGCAGTTACATTTATTATGCTTCGGTTATTTTTATTGAACTGTAATTTTTCCTATAAGTAAAAGATTTAGCAGAATAAACAGATACGTAAATTTAATAATCCACTCAAACTAACACAAAAATCCGTACAAACGTCAACAGTCTCTTATAAGCTAACTTTATTTATCTCGTAAAGTACTTGTTAATACTCAACCCCCGGGGTGGGAGTCTGGCTTCTCTGACTTTGATAAAGTCTGACGCGTCGGTCGACTAGTTGCTAGATCAGTCGATTCACCTTGTTCTGTAATTTCATAAAACACCAATTTATGTAGACCTTCCGCTGAATATTTGAAACCGTTATATTTGTATGGAAAAAGAGGGGAGTGGTAGCTTTATTAATATTGTTTTGTAAACATGTTTGTAGATTTATTGTTGGATTATCGTCGGTCAAAGGGGAGACAGGGGTGCGTGGAAATGCGAGAACATTTATAGACAAAACTTGTTTACACTACTTAAAGAATTAAATCACTTCAGTTGATATTTGCCTAGAAATTTGTTAATTTCTTTGTGTTTGTAGCTCAATAATATGTTTAACTTTTATAACGATAGCTAATACTGATCAAATTATTTAAAAGTATATACTTTCATATATATTTTTTGTATGTAGATAACATACTATGTTATCGAAACTATTCTTAAGTTTATTAATTTAAATAATAAAATGAGTCGCACACTATACTTTCTCATAAATAAAGTAACCTTAATATATGATAATAACCTAATTAAGAAAACAAAAGAAATTAAAAAAAGAAACACGAACTTAATAAACAGTCTTACAAGTTATTAAACAAACTTTTAATTTGATCTTGTGGTCGCCGATAACAATGCAGCAAAGTTGTTAGGCAGAGGGGGCGCGGTGGCCGCCAATCTTTCTCACATTGCAGTACAAAATCGTACTTCTCAGTAAGAACACCTCGCAAAACTTTACCGTAAGTAAACTCGCAAGAACCGAACTGAGCCGACATCGAACGACCGCTGCCCGCTACGCTCAGCTACCCGCCACCGCTACCGCCCCGCCCCGCCCGCGGCCGCTACGCGATCTACAATCGCCTCCCTCCGCCAAACAAACGGACAAGTTTTAATGTTTTGCTCACAAAGTGTATGATTAAACGCGGAGAGCGGCGGAGAGAGTCGGCCGTAAGTTATTGATTTTCCCCGACCGAACCCCCGTCGACTACGCGGTTCGCGGTACGATTTAAGAGCTCTATGCGACTATCTCATTAACAAAACCTTATCATATCACCTTAAAACTACTTTTGTTATCTAATAGTCCATATAGTATATCATTTGGAACTTGTAAAAAAGTTTCTAGCATATGAAGTAACTATTGTGAAGTTTTTTTGTGTAATTGTTATGAGAAAAGTTAGTAGTCGCTGCGCAATGGTCGCGCGAGCGGCGTCAGACGCGCACCCAACAACTTCAGATCGTTCTACGTTCCGAAGTTAACGCAAAGTTCCGCCATTTTGGAACATGCTCACAACCCACTTGTTTTATAAGAAACTTTTTATTAATTCCTGTGGGCTGCGGAGTGACAGTGAGATGTTTTGAGGTTATGCTGAGAGTGGATATACGTTATTCTGACTAGGAACTGGTGTTTTTTTTTGTTTATCGGTGTCTGAGCGGCGTTTGTGAGTGTTTTTGAATATTTGATACGTTGTTTTGATGTGTATTGAGAGTGACGTTTCCGGGATGATGCTCCAGTGATTTGTGTTTACTTCAGCAAGTGACGGGACGCTTCTACTACACTTCTTGACCTTGTTTATGAACCGGACGTGTAAATAAGTTGCAGGTGATAACAACTTGACTTTCTGTTATTAGTTATACGTAGTTTAAAAGTTCTGTCAGAAGTTTTTGACCAAAGTATTAAGAATTCATATACTTGCGCGGTGTTATGGAGGCTGCTACTAACTTTCTTTTGTGTGATGCACTGAGTTAACTTACTTTTTTGACATATTTAAGTGCATTCTGTTTTTACTACATCACGTTATTATGAAAGAACTTTAAAAATATTACTTACATATTAGATAGCAAAATTTTTAATAAAGTGAAATTATAATATTGTTTAAGTTTCTCGGAATTTATCTCGGAAGGCGTAAGCTTTACTGCGTGACAGGGAATTTTAAAATGGTAATAAGAAAGATGTGACCTTGTCTTCACGTAGAGATCGATATTGTTACTTGATTAAATATTATCTTAATGTTTTTAATCACAAAGTAACAAACTAACAGTAAACTATCTGAATACAGATATTTATCAAAAACTAAATCATTAGTTATTCCAGACATTTCAGATGAATGAGTGAAGTTATTCGATAAAACGTATAAGAAAAGTTTTGAATTTCATTACATCACAAGTAACATTTGAACTTGGGTTATAATAAAGAGATATAAGAAATATTTCTTAGAAAAAACTCGTTTGTGTCATAAATAAAGTAAAAGCCTACGATATTGGAGATCGTTTTATTGGGGACGCCATTACAAAGTCATTTTAGTAACTGGTCCCAGTCTCGGTCTATTGTAGAAGGAAAATCTTTCTACAGTCACGGTTCTCGATGGGATAACGCAGACGAACATAACTCGCCAAAGGCCTTAAGTAAAGTTTATCGTACAAATAATAATTAACCCAATCCCGACTACTCAAAGTACAAACTCGTATAACAGTCAAGAAAGCTATGAAACTTTGTTAAATAACTTTTCAGATAACTTGAACTTCGTCTATTTGCACAAAGTTCTAAGCGGAATTCTACCGCGGGCTAATTCAATCTGTGCTCGCTTGTAATAAATGTTGTTTTCGCGTAATACCAATTGGGGAGTTAGTATACTTTGCTGACTTAAAAGTTCTGGACTTCACGAAGCAAAACGCGAACTTTTGTAGAACATTTCAGTGTAGTTAGTACAATGTTATAATGGAAATAAGCACTTCAAAATGGCGTTTCCAGCAGCTGTGTTAATAAAGGTATATATGTATCAGTTTTGATGTTTAAACAAATACATAACTCAAGTTTAGAAGCAAAAAATTTTTTCGCTTTACTTAAAGTTACATAATAAATTCAATCACTTTTTTATTTTTAAAATGTAATTAATGAATCATTTGATACAATTATTGTATCGAATATTTAATACCTTCATGATTTGTCTATACCTACAAATTATTACACGTAAATACAAATGTTAAATAATGTATGCATACATACTTTCTTCAATTATGAATGTTAAATATAAGTCTGACGTTTTGAATTTACTCATTCAATTTCTGAATTAACTAGAATAAGTAAAGCAACTAAAGATATTATGTTTCATGCCAGCTTTCATTTGAATATGAATCTTATGTGGTACATTTACGATCGAAAGTTTGTTGTTAAAGTTATGGAGCCTTTATGACTGTCTCTTTATATTTGCCCTGTTTCTTTTTACTTGCTTTGAACAATAAATGGCCTTTTGGAGCGATACTGTATTTTAGGCTTCGAACACATGTTACCTTTTCTTTTTCTACTATTTGTTTCTTATATGCTTACATTATATTATACTAAAACTATTTACAATTCAAAATGCCAATTAGAATTTTATTGTCAATTATATCAATAAGCTAAGTTATAATAATTTATTTTGAGAATTTCATACGAGTTTTATCCTTATGTAAACGCTCCAAAATAACATTGTGCTTCAAACAGAGACTCGCCCACTAAATCTTCTAACTTGTTGTTCCCGCGATCTCATTCACTTATATGGATTCCAATTTTGGTAAAATTAAAATCAAATCTTGAAAACACAAGCTTGATGTAACATGGAAGGCCTCACTAAAAACTCATCAGTTGTTTCAGAGATTATTGTGAACAGATGAAGTGAGATAGAAACAAATAAAACTCGCTTTTATTTTGTTCTGTAATCCGTTTACAATCTGTATATAATATATGGATTTTTTTATAGTATGGACAAATTACCCAAGGGTTGGGACTGATATATATATATATATATATAGTTATTATTACTTCATTAATATGTTGATAATGTTCAGTACAAAATAGTATTATTTTACTATAATTGAATATTCAACTTTTTAATATAGAAAAAAAGTGAGTTTTATCGAGCATATTAATGAAATTCTTTTCTGTTTGACGTGTGTTGCCAATCTGTTTGTTTCCAAAATTATATTATAATTACAAATACATTGCTTATACTGCTTAATTCTGCGAATGCGATATTAATATTCTCTGTGCCGTTTCCACGAAAGTATAATATACGCTTCCTTTCTTCAATTATCTATACAAGCTATTGTTTGAGTATTATTGAAATTGAGTTTTGCATAGAAAATGAGTGGATTTAAAAAAATAGTCGTAATTTTGTTGTTTACTTTCAATTTGAGAAAATAATGTTGAATTATTGTTTGTCTAGAGTTATGAGTTTAAATTTTATTGACGGAAAGCGAAGTTATTTTTTATGAATCATGATTTCATTAACATTGAAATATTTCACCGTAATATTATTAAGAAAGACTTAGCTTAATAAAGCGCTATTGATTAAAATAACTTTCCGAAAAGAAAATTAACTTTTTGAAACTCAATACTTTCAAGGTTTTCTTATCTCTTAGATATTACACGAATTATTTAATAGACTATTTCATATCAGGAATAATACTGTAATTCTCTTTTTTTACACAAACATATGAACGTATGTGTATGTGCGTCTTATTTATACAACAGACACATTGTTAAACTCTATTGAATTCGAGATTATTGTTTACTATAACTGTTATTATCTTTAAACTTAGTGAGATTTGAATGGCTTTCAATCATCAACGAATAACCTCAGCCGACGGAAGCACAAACAATACTTCGGTAAGGGTGCAAGATTAACTGTGGGAGTCAAAGTTATTCGTTCGTATGCTAACCAACCTAACCTTTCCGGTATGTTTTCTTATCCGGCCTTATAAAAAATGGGCTTAAAGTTGAGCCAAGTGTGATATGAAATGATTTTCAGTATGTAGTTGTTTGGTAATGAGAGGTATGGTATACAAGAAAGTACCCTGGTGAATGCCTAGGGAAGACAAAACATTAGTCTTGGTGGCCAAGATCCTGAATAACCGTAGCCCTAAACGGTCCACCAAAGATATGGCGCCAAATGTCAACAGCATGACCCTCTCCTAAAAATTCGCTCTTCGCTCAGTAATAAGAGTGAGAGCAACATAAATTAAAACCCTTATTCGTGAAATTAGAGTACGTCTCAATTTCATGAATAAGTTGAGATTACAGTTTGCCAGATCTAAAATACTGTAGAATTACCAATTTATTTTTTAGATTATCCTCAAGTAAATATAATTAGCAGAGGCATGCACCTTTGCTTGCACTCTTTAAAAGGATTTTGTATTTATTTCCCACCAAAATCCACACTTCACTTGCTCAATCTTTCCTTCTCGCCTTCATTTATTGCAATAATAGCTAGAGCTACTTTTAAAAATACGACAACATTACAATGTTTTCATCCGATTTATTACAGCTTGCGTAAATCTGACGATGTTTACGATTTATATTGTAAATTACGATGATTCTCTATCCACTTCTTTCCCAAATCTGTTGAGATAACCTTCATCAATGAGAGAAACCTGTATCCATTTTTTTGAGAGATTGGGTGAAACGGGCAAAGAGGATATCTATAAGAATTTGTCCCATCTCTTTCCACAATACGATTGACCCCTTTCTGAATGTCCCTCCCCCCACAGGTCCTTCGTCTTGTGAATGACGAGTCGAAAAGCTACTTTAACAGTTTGGTTACAACCCCACAACTGGGATTCCACTTTTGATTCAAAAAAATTAGGAAAATGATGCACCATAAAAACCCCGCGAATTCTACCGCAGATCAGTTTCAATTTCAATCAGTTCAATTTCAGGCGACCACCAATAAACAGTATGAAGTTAGGTTATTTAATCGTTGTCGCGATCAGGACATGCCGAGACCTGAACAATATCTGAGCCGTTGCGGATTCGACTGAAAGCAGATATCTTTATTTGATATACAGGTAATCCAACAGGGTCTGGCACAATCGCCTTCTTGGCTAGATCACTAATCACTTGATCTACTTCCAAATTTACAAATTGTTGTTAAAGGCTGTTCGTGTGATTCACTAAACGGTTTTTTTATATCACTCTATACCAATACTTTTTATCTCTCTTTAATACCCTACTACATATTTGTAAATGTCTCAGGCCTGCTTCAAGTATAGTTGAAAAGAAAGGCCACAGTAGACTGTGTTAATTTAGCTCATCAGATAGTCTATTGGTGAGCCGGTGACAATAAGGTGGAATTTGGCAAGACTAAAACAAAAATGAGTTTTTACCATCAAGAGGACTATGTCTACCTTGACTCTTTTTGTTCAAAATTTTAGAGTATGTCACTGACACTTTTACTCGACTTTCCTTAGTCAGTATTACATAAACATCAGTATTTAATTTAGCGATATATTAAAGTATTTTATTCAATTTCACGAAAATGATAAATATAAAATTCATGAGTTTGATAATGCAAAATTATAACATAGGAGTGCTTTCACTTAGGAGATTTTTGCATCCGACTAGCTCTAAAATCTATCATCTTAATTTATAATTGGTCGCTAGCACAGCTAAAATTTTGTTTAAGTTCCAAATGAGTCTCCCAGATCAGAGTTATTATTATTAGTCATTATCAGGGTAACGGTACGAATAAACTCACTATATCTACGTGAAAGCAGTTGAAACTCCTAAGCATTTGCTGGTGAAATGTATGGTAATTCTAAATAGCGCTCGATTATTGCATCGCCACCATAGTGTTCTAGAAAACACACATGAAGATGTTTTGAATTTTGAATTTTTTTATTATTTCTTCTTTGTTTGTTCCCCTGAGTACAAAATCTTTTAGTTTTCTTTCTATCCTATCCCTGGTTCGTCCGTATATATGTAGATAGGTTTTGTGTCATAATACAAAAAGACATAGATACACCTATCCATCCCAGTGAATAACAAAGTCGGTATTGTCTTTTGATAAACATAAATATTGACTCAAGTAAAATTTTCTCTCTCAGGTTGCGTAATATTCGATCCGCTAAATTAGATATTGTAGACAATGCCTTAGATGCTTTTGTTCTAGAAAATCTATCAATGTTATAGGATGGAAGGCTGTAAATCGGTTGCACATTTTATATCTAATTTGTTACTACAGGTTTTATTTGGCAACAAAACATAAAACACCAAGTCAAAAGTCTTCCTTGGATACTCCCAAAAAGTAAAACGTTTCTTTTTGCAGCTTTGTCAGATTGAGATGGCAGTGATCTTAGTTGAAGTTATTGCTCAGCATAGATAATGCCTAACAGCATGTGAGACACACAATGTTAGGAGAGCTGAAATAATTTTACACAGATTAGTCTAATTGAAATGAAACAAAGATGTTTCAAAACTCAAGACGTAGACGTCTAGGTTCTTTGAGATCTTCTATTGATATATCTCCACGACTGCACCCAGATCCTCATTTTAGGTGGATTTGCACTCAAGTACATACAAACGTACGAGTGGGATTTGTATTTACAATACCATCCACCTTGACTAGAACTTATAAGGTTGTGATAATTTTAACGTTATCAGTATCGGAGTTACCATTCTGCAGATAATGAAAAAAAAATTCATTTGAATTCTTGCAAAACTGTTGACTGATTTGAAGTGATTCAGAGAAACTTCGGTGAAAATCCATCGTTATTTTATATTTATTGCCCTTGTAACATGTAAAATACTCAGAGTAAAAGAACTCTGAAGGTACGGTTATTTTTTTGCACTAACTTGGTCTGGAAACTTAATTTAAGATTGAAAATTTAGTAAAACAAAGTTTAACTTCTATTTGATAAAAAAGTATTAGCCAAAATAAAAAAAAAGATTTGAGGTAACACATTAAAAATAGTTGTTAAATAAAAAATATATTATTTTTTGTACATAGCAACCTACATATATTTTGACATATTATAGCGAGGTCTAGGATGACAGTTTAGACGATCACCTTACTTAATAATTTTGATTATCTCTGTTATCTTCTGAAAATTATAATAATATTGCTTTCTGGTCAATATAATGAGGAATAGATATACCGAACAATGTACTAGCTACAATCTGTTGTAATGTGACATGGAATAGATAGATAATAAATTTATGGTTTTGTAAAAACACAAACTGTAATAATGATACTCACAATAAATATTGTCAGCGTATCTTGGTATCTGTTATTGTAAGTTTTTTAAGACTACTCATCATTCGCTCGCCTCTCTACTGTCTAATTAATCCTTTCTCATTACCGAGTCACTAGAACTTCGAAAGCGCGGAGCTACTTAGCAAACTTTGTTACTATTGTTTGTTGGAAATACGCCACTTTATTATATTCTTTGGGACTTTTAGTAGCAATAAAATAGAATGATGTTTTTTATCTATTTGTTCTTTGATAGTTATTGTTTCCTTTCCTTTTGCTTATAAATATTATAAGGAATGTAATAGAACAATCGTTTGTTATTACTAGATGTACTTCCATGTTTTGGGAAATAGCGTAAACATTTTGTTTTGATTAATTTGATGAGAATGTTGTTGAAATTAATGAAATTATGACCCGACCTACTAAAATCAGGATTCATATGTGTATTGTATTCTTCTTTTCCTTCTAGACTATGAAGTAAAAATATATTTTTAAGTGAATAACTTAAATATAATATCACGGTTATATAATGAAGATGAAAAAGGCAAATTTTCCTTTCACAAAATTGAATTTACAGGCTCCGTCTTCTTTTATAATAAAAGCCAATATGGTAAAATTGTAATTTTGTAAATCTGTCCATTTTAATAACATCTTTGTGTAATACTTACAAACTCTATTATATCATGACAACGACGTTGAAGGTCGACTTGTTATTGAACTTTGTACAAACTTCGATGTTACGAGTAGTTCCAAAAACTAAAGATTACGTATTAACGTTCATGAATATAAAAACATTGCCAATTTATCATATACATATATTCCTCTTGACTATGTTTTCCTTAACTTATAAATGTCAATAATTCTTAAGTATCTTTTAAGTAACTTAATTAAGCTTTAGTACATAATTCATTTATAGTAACAAAATACAACAATCAACACAATACCTCTTAAAAAATAAATAACCAATGACACAAAATATTAAACGACGTTCACGACTTTTTAATTTAGTAAATAAAACGGATAAAGAAAAAAAATTCAGTCCCAACTTATAAATAGAAGTAATTGTTCAAATACTAAAATATAATCGCTTCAAACAATGTTTAAGATCTTACGCTGAGCTTTAAATTGAATTTTCGAAGCTCACCGCTCTCAATATCTCTATACTATGTATATTACGTCATACATCATAATTGAATACAAGACTGAGGTTTGAGATATTTGAAATTATGATTAAAATATTATTTATAATTACTATATAAAAAAAAATTATTAATGGCACTACTTAAGTGTATCTCAATCATTGTATATTTAATAGAAGCGTAAGTGTATGCTAACTTTGTAACATCAAGGTAAAGTTGAACGAGTTATGAGATTTTATAGTGTTCTACTTTGATAATGTTGAATTTAAAACCTTTATATTAAATATTTACATAAAACGAAGCATTTGTTTTGAGCTTTACATTTAATGTAATAATAATTGAACTTACGAGTCGCTGTTACATTTATATAATATTAAAACTTTTGAAATAAATTTAATATCTCTTCATAATATCTAACCTTATAAAGTCTTTTGTGAATAGATACTAGATTGGTACTTCTATTTTCATATTAGTTCGCCTTTTGCTGGCTTATATAACATAACAGAATATTTCTTTAGTATTCCGAGTAATAATTTTAGTTATGAAAATTTTATTACTTGCATATGAAAGCAATACAAATATTTTATAAAGATAACAATATTACAAAAACTTTAATAACAATAAAAATATATAATTCAATTTAGTTTACACAAAGGATGTTACTACCAACGGGGTTGTCACAATACAAAGAAATGACCTAACTATTTTCTATATAGGTTGACAACCCTAGCGATATCAATAAAAGAAAAACTAACTGTCAAGACTAAATAAAAAGTTGTTCATTTATTTTTAAAAGTTGTCGTTAAATATATGAACGTCATATAAATTGCATTGAACCGAGTCAGTTGCATCCTCGGCGTCTGTTGTCGGAATAACGCCGTGAGCTGACAGCCAACTGCGCAAGGACCCGGCCACTCACACATAGATCATAAACTCACACATAGACACCCTAGTGTATCTAGTGTACCTAGATTATTAGTATGCTGTTAACCGCTGGAGAGTGTGTACGTCAGTTTGTCCGGATATGAATGCAATTGAATGAAACTTTAATACCGTCTGGATAATTGTATGATATTCAATATATCTTAATACTTTACTATATCTTAATATTGAACTATTGATGATGTTTTATGTTGATATGAAAGTAATATTAATGAATATTAATATGTATTAATATTTTCAGAATGTCACGTAAATCTCGCCAGGGGTACACCATTCGTCATCTTCTACAGTTGCCGAGTACTCGCTCACCGGGGCCTCACCCTCCGCCGCCGGCTATCAAGGTTCGAAAGTTTTACAACTTTGGTTACAGCTTTCTTAATTTGAAAACTTTCCGTCTTCAATGAAATACTTGTAGAAGTTTTTAATTTCGTTAATACTTCAAATTAAATTGTTGATAAGTTTTAATTTAGAGATGTTTTTTTTTGTACTTTGAGAAGCCTCTGTTTAGCTTAGTTATTTAGCACGTTTGTAACCTTTTTTAGAAATATTAATGAATAATTGATAATAAACTATTTTTTATTTCTGGTTTATTTTGTCTTTTTTTAGCTTTTCAATTAATGACCTTCGTAAATAACAAAAATTGTACAAAAAAATACCTTAATTTTTTTTTATTTTATGTGCCTGCATTTTTATATTTTAATTTATGAAAAACTTTTCCTACAAATATGTCATATCTATCCGCCTTTTAATAAATTTGTGTAACAAATTGTAAAAGTATGCATCTATGAAAAGAAAGTTGAAACTTTCTTTTCACAGCAGGTAATAGATAAATATGATATGTATAAACTAGGTATAAACTATATGTTCCGTGATGTCTATTACAGGAACCATTAAACTGTAGATTATTACTCACCCCATTCTAACTAGTTACGAATTTCCCTCACAGAGGGCGGTTATTGCAGAGGGTAGCTGAAATAATACAAAGTTCGTTACCTTATACAGAGATGGCGCTGTTCTCAAATTTGAAAAATAAGCTGAGATGACTTATTTAGTAATGAATGTTAGTTTATATATTTTTATAATAAACAAATAAACTTTGCTTCTGAAAAGTTAACTTGTGTTAAACGTTTTTCGTCCTTCGTTTATATTTTTTTTTGTTATGTCTTTCTTAAACGACGATCGATTATTATCAAAAAATTATGATGTTATTATTAAAAACAATAAAATTTTCTAAATGATTAATTATTATTATTAAAAAAAAACTTACTACCGAATTATATTATTCTATTATTGAACCAATATGAAATACTTTAAATACTTATTTATCTACTGACAAAAACTACTTATCTATACATAGAATCCTTAAAAACAAGCTCATAGCATTAAAAGACGACTAGAAAGTTGAAAATTATACCTGAGCTCAATGTAAGTAAAGTCATTGCCAAGCCAAAGCGGTCTCCTGTCTGGGAATGGTTGAGACAAATTAGGATTCTTAGCAGCAACCTGAACTTTCTAAAACTAGATATGATATTTCACCAAAAGTTGTGTGAGTCAGATTATTGAAAAGGATTACTCATTGTAATAGATTCACCCTTGTAAAATATTATTTAACATCATACTAAATACAATGAATAGTTAGTCAGTAATGGTCGAAAAGTTAAAATTTATGTTTAGTGGCAAAATCATAATTCTATTAAACTAATAATTAAATTGTTATTACTATGGGACGTAATTTTATTTACTCAATTACAGTTTTTCTACTTGTGTCTGACATAAAATTTTAAATAAAAAGTTTCATAAAATATATGTTCAAATAAAAGTTTAAATAAAATATACATATATAAGTAAAAAGAAATAATAGTTATCGTATTATTTAAATCACAATCACATCTTAGTACATATTACTTTACCTATATCAAACGGGATATCAGACTAGGTTTGTTTTTTATTTCATATCTATATTTCAGTTTCTACATGAATTTTTTGGCGCCATTATACTGATTTAATTGGGGCCGTCAATAGATGATAACGATTTTCGTTGGTATATTATTACCTAGCAAAGTTTTAGTTTTCAAACAAAGTCAATTATTCTAGAATATAGTATAATGTGTATGTAATATTACCATTTTCAATTTCATATAATTAGTATAATATATGGAAGTTAAAGTAATAAGAAAGTAAATCGATTTTGTAAACGTTACTTGGCTCCAAAGTGGCTCCCCTTCATCGGATTCTCAAGAAAACTATTCGAATTGGCTTTCCAGTATTATTTACAAAGCGAAATCAACTATTTATTTGTCGAATGATGGCTTTGATCTTGCGATGGCCGTACAAACATACTGTTGACCTTTCAATGAATTATAAGAAAGAATGTCATAGATATAACCAAAAGAAATTTTTGTTTTAAAAAATGCATTTAGTTTTTTTTTTTTATTAAATTTTATAAATTATTTTAAAAAGTAAAGCAAAGGTTTGTACTTATTAAAACTAAACAGTAAATTAGAATCTTTATGACGGTATTTAAATTGAGTTTAAATATATTATAATAAGAATGTAATCAATTGAATTAAAAGTATTAAAAATATTGTCATTTAAGTAAAAGTATACAGATTTTTTCATGAAATACACAGTCATATCCACTCTATTATAAAAAGGGGTTTCTTTTCACGGTCTACTGGTTGTTAGCCCTTCGACCGTTTTGTCTACATTACTGTACATTTGAAGAATTAATGTCCTTACAAGGGTAAATCTTTGCTTTACCCGAGATTGACGCTCATTTCTTGTGAGGTTCAAGATTTGTTTAGTTTATTGGCACTTTTCTGGGGCATTTGATATTTAAGAGACAATGGTTTGTATATTTGCTGGGAATAACAAAGTGTGTGTTAAACATAAATGATTTCTTTTGACAGTCGTATAATATATATTATTCTTTTAATGCTTGTTTGTTTTGACTGACTCAAAACCTAAGATGCTTCTTATCTTTACAACACTTACGGTGCTAAAATATATAGGTCCTATAATGAATATCATTCTAATTGTCAATGGTCAATGGTGGCTCAGTGGTTAAAGGGCCCGCCTCTCATGCACGAGGACGTGAGTTCGATCCTGGCCCGGGCAAGTACCAATGTGATTTTTCCGAATCATATGTACTTTCTAAGAGTATTTAGACATCACTGATTAATGTTGATTCCCAAAAGAGGGTTGATGTCAGGCAGGCGGGCCGGTCGTAAAAACTAATAGCCAAAAACGATTATTCACAACATGTAAGGCAGACTTTGGCTGAGGCTGGGAAATTGCCAGGTAGAAGAAGAAGAATGAATATCATTCTAAGTATAAAATTTAATGATTTGCATATGCATATTTATATGTTTAAAGTTTAACATATGAAAAAACTTGGTAAATTGTACGAAAAATACCAAATTTTTGCTACTATACGGTAAAATAAGGTTTCTAGTGAGGGATATTTTTAGACCATAAATTCGTCGTTAATCTGTTGAGTGTTAAGTGATTAAGCGCTCGGCGGGCGGTCCGGTCTTTTATACGCCGATTTGTTAAACAGTTACATTCAGGGTGGAAAAAAGTGATGGGAGGTTGTCGATGAAAGTTTTAGATATAGGTTTGATACAGTAACAACAACGGTTTCCTTTAATTTTTATATATAATAGTCAAAAGATTTGTATGAAATGTAACAAGCAAATTACAACCGTAAGTCACATAATATTAGAATAGAGAATGTCTTAGCAAATTTATACAAAAACTATTTGATGTATTATTATCTTAACTTATATCTGTAATAACAGTACTAAAAATGATTTCTGTTTGTTACAGGTAAGGTCTTCAGTATATTCACGTTTATTGGTCAGGTGTGAAGGTGTTCTAAGAATCTTGAAGCGCGATCTGCTTGTAAAATATAATATATGAAACAATAATGAGTTTATCTTTATATATAAAATACAATATTATTAATAGATCATTCAAAAATATTTATTTTATATACTATAACCTGTACGCATTATCTTTAAATAAAAACTTGAATTAATTAGTACAATAAATTTCGTCGATATCGAGTCTAGCACCGCCCTATTTCTACAAATACAACATAGTGTCGGTAATATTTCTTGTAGGCTTCACGCCTGTAATTTACCGGCGGCTACCTAATGTACGGTCTTCCGATTGAAATATAAAATGTAATTGTTATTTATTGACTGCTGAGAGGAGGAAATGAATTGTTTTATTGTGAATAATGTTTGCCCTTCGACCATCAAATATTTAATCTATAAATTTTAACAACACCCATAATATTCTTATGAATCTACGCAAGAATAAGTTACAGAACAATAATAAATTGTCGTACATTAAAGAAATATGTTAGTAATAAAACGTAAACCGACCACTTGTATGCTTCTCGATGCAATAAAAGAGATATAAGGCATTAAGACAATCGGTTACGCCAGCGAATAAATTGGTAATGGCAAGAAGTTAGTTTCGCGTATTTTAGGATTACATTGCTCCCGTGTGGCCACTTCGCGATAAAATCTAGTAATGCTTTCAACTCACGACATAGTGGCGATTGCCAATTTCTCTTACTAGGACATATGCTAAAATACCTTGTACGTATCACGACATTAAGATATACGGAGAAATTATTTCGAGATTTTGTAGCGCCAACTATATCCATGTGCTAAAATTTATTTAATTTTTTATGGTCATAATATACTGTGTTTATACTGGGCTGTCTTTGATTTTTTCGTTAAGATTTTTAAACCAAACGAGACGTAAATACTATTTTCGCAAACATTATCTCTACTAAGCCTTAACCGACGAAAAGGAAAGAATTTTAATAACATCCAGAACGTATAATTTATTGAGTTTAATTTAGATTTATGTCGGAATTATTAAAAACTGTAAATACATGTCGATATTAAAATAAAATTTAATGATAAAGTAATTTATAATTTGACAATATATCATAAAGTTAGTGGTGACATTTTGTCTTGAGGCAGCCAAGACGTGACCCTTCGCCACAGAATGCCAACCTCCTAACGAGTTTTTGAAAGCTCTCCTTACAACGAAACCATCTTAAAGGGATTTGCACTTTGTAACTAAATTGTTGTCGTGTAACAGATATGGCTGTTGTTTAATTTGATTTTATTTGTCTCTAAAGATATCATAAAATATACTCGTAAATATGTATTTAGAGCGTCTTACCAGCAACACAAACCTATCTTACTTCATCAAGATTTAAATGATAATTGTATAATTGAAAACTATTTTCCGGATATTTTTTTTTTGATTGCATGAGATGTTTGTGGTAAATTGAATGCTTAATTATGTAACATAT